GCCTAATAGTCATAGGTCCGAGCTATATATAGATGCATCATGCATGCAGTGATGCAAATATATAGATCTTTTCTGGGTAGGGATTTGTATCAACTATCCAGTGGGGATCGACATATACATGATCTACACCAAGGCCCCAAAAGATCCATACAGCCACGATGGTCCATAGATGCTAGAAAGATCATGATGATGCCATCGATCTTCTAGGAGATAACTCATTCGTTCACCAACAAAATGATTCGTACATGTGCGGTGTGCCGGCCTGGAGTGAGGCTGGCTGTAGAAAGTCGGAACTGGAAGAACAATTACAAGATTGGGTAAAAAAATAGTAAAATGCAATACAATACCTAGTGCTGACTTGTTGTGTCGAAGAAAACAGTAGCACGCACGAGAGTAGCGGCGGTCGGGGAACGAAGATGCAAATAGATGTCGCTGACAGCGACCTGCATGCGAGATGATTGTGGAACCAGCCGCCGTATCCTTAGCTTTTAGGGTGTCTGCCGATGAGTAATTTTATATGGTTTGTGTGGGCTAGTTGGACCGGGATTATATTATTTAGGGCTATGTAAAATAATCGGATATCCTCTTATAAAGGTCGGATAATCCACTTTAAATTGTCGGATAATCCATATCCACCGGATATTGCCAATACCATATCCTCCTCCATATCCGCAACAATCGGATGCGGATTATCCATATCCTCATGGATATCTAAAACCTTAATCCATATCCTCGTAACGCGGATTCGGATCGGATCGGATGCGGAAATTATCCACCCCGCTTTCACCCCTAGTGATGTGTAATATTGTGTTTTTTTTTTAGGGTAATATACTTTTTCACCATCCGAACTATCACAGTTTTGGCGCATCACTATATAAAATATTTTTTTTACAAACCATCGTATAAACTATACGAGTTTGTCAATGTGCCCCCTTCACCGTTGTCAGCCCCACCACCGCCTCCAGCCACGTACCCACAATGAGCTCGACGTGATGTGCCCTCAACTGTCGTCGCATGCATCGGTTTCCATTGCGAACGAGAGGCAGTGGTGGGCCCGGCGATAGTGCAGGCCGGCGGGGGCTCCGGTAGCGTAGCAGGTATTTCTTGTCCAAGGCATTTTGGAACGAGCCTCATTTCTCCTTTTATTTTTTATTTTTTATATTATTTTTTGAAACCAACTTTTTCATTTTTTCATTTTATTTATAACCGGTTTAGGGGCACATTGACAAACCCGAGTAGTTCATATGGTGGTTTGTAAAAAAAAAATAATTTATATGGTGATGCGCCAAAATCGTGATAGTTCGGATGAGAAAAAGTATTTTACCTTTTTTTTTAATAATAATGCATCTACCAACAATATTTGGATATAATTAGATTAGTTAATTAGTGTTGCCAAACGAAGTAATGATTGGGAGCCCAACCTTTAATTGGTTTTTTTAACTAAGGAGATTCAACAGTCTCGTTGCGGAATCATTTCGCCGGAATTTGTAACCGTTAGATCAACTATCCACGACGATTACATAATGATTGAATGATTACAAATCTCGACGGAACGGTTCCATAATAGGAACATTTCTCTTTAAACTATTCGTGTGTGTTGAATAGTTTGTTATTAACCGGTCTGAAAATATATTGATAATAAGACGTGTAATTTTTTAGTTAGTAAAAAAAAAATAATATGACCTAAAAAAGTTCAAAGTAATTTCAAGCTATAATGGGTAGAAATGGACACGTATACACATATTTAATTAAAATTTGCGGTCAAAATTTGTTTTTTCGATCAAAGTGAACATTTTATTATTATTATTATTATTATTATTATTATTATTATTATTATTATTATTATTATTATTATTATTATTTCATCAAAAATCCATATTTCAATGGGAAATTAACATGTGCAACATTAAATTTCCAGCCGAATTATCACTATTTAATTAAGTTTAAACAAGAAATATTAGGGACCAATTTTAAATTTTCCTTAATACTACGATCACAGTCACTACATGCATTGTATATAAAGTTGAGGAGGAAAAATAAAACAGAACAAAGAATAATGCAGCCATACTGCCCATACCTAATGGTTCTATTTAATTTTATGAAAAATGAAATATTAGATAGAAATTTGGTATGTGGAATATCTGTATTTGGACAATTGACAAAATTTATATCTGTATTTGGACAATTGACAAAATTTATTTTCAGTTTTTTTGACATATATATATATATATATCTTCTCCTTACGACCAACTGCAGCTTTGATTATTCGTTGCTTTCGCTATTATTTGGGTTTGTTGAAGATATTTTTTTTAATTGATAATAATAATTTTAGCTTTAGATACTCATTAAAGCTTCAATAAATTGTGCAAACTGACTACACGGACTAAATGCCTGTAATAATCTACCGAAACGCTACAGTTCCGTTACGCAACCATTCCGTCGGAATTTGTAACCGTTAGATCACCATGTAACCGTCGTAAATAGTTGATCTAACGGTTACAAATTCCGATGGAATGGTTCCGTAACGAGACTGTAGAATCTCCCAATAACTTAATAATATCGTTTACTTAGAGAAAAAAAAAAAAAAAA